AGCTAGTTCCTTCCTCAATTGTCCAACTTCAATCTAGAAGGAAATTATCTCTTACCGAATCACATTTTAATGTAAAAAACATACTCTTAAAATAGACAAAGAGCTTACTTGAAGACTATCAATCATTCTTTGGTAGTCTGAAACATTGGTGTTAAGTGTGCCAACATTTTCCTGAAATGAATACAGTAATGTTTATGAGCGCGAAAGAAACTTGAATCCAACTATTAAAAAAATCACATTGATTATAGCCGATGAAAGACCTTGAGTAAACATGATTAACCTATAACGTGGAAACATTATTCAGTACTAAGAATGAAACTTAGAATTCTATAAGATGATAAAAAAATATTAACGTCGAAGAAATTTGAATAACAAAGATTAGGAGTTTTATTTATCTTTTAAAAACAAGAATAAGAGTGGACATTAAATAAATAGGGATATTTTTATGATTGATTCCAACTATACAATCTTCAAGTATCTTATAGGCAGATCAAATAATCAATATTAAATACATCTACTACACATTATGGCAAGTACTACAATAATCAAATCAACGCCCTCTTGCACAATATTGTAGCAGCAAGAGATCTAAAAATGTTTAGCAAATTTACCAAAAAGACAATTACTGCAGCACGCGGCTCATTTATCAAATGTTCTAATAGAAGTGCATAGAAATCTATAGGTTGGACTCCCACAGTCACACCTGGATATGAGTTTTAATTTCCTTTGCTCGGTGAGCATACTTCAACGTATTGACAGTATGGTGATACTGATTATCGACTGGAGATATGGTTGCGATCATTATTGTCTGTGAATTACCACTCAGGCCATCTTTAAGAACTACACCTATTGGAAGGAGCGGATGAGGATTTACATCCAATCCACCAATTTTCTCCTTTGGAGAATTATCAAGAATGGTGAAGACGTGCCAATGAAGAAGGTCGGGGAAACCAACGTTCCTAAGACCGAGAACGAGTATGATGCACAAGACATCAAGAAAGTGGAAAACAATGCCAAGGCCATCAATATCATCTAT